AGGCTTTGATCCTGCTAATGCTTATGTTTAGGCATCAGAATACTGGGCTTGTGCATGAAGTTAATCACCTGCATGAAAGCTTGCAGATAGACTATCAGATTCTGATTCATGCTTTAACTCAACTTCAAACACAACAGTGTTCAAACTGAATATGTTTTCTCTAGTTTCAAAGTCTCCTGGTGAAGGAGGCAATCACCTACACTTTGAATTAGGTCCTGTGCTTTATTCACTGGCTCAAGCTGTGGTGTGTAGGGTATTAGACAAAGCTCATCTTCCTAGGGGGTAAGATAAGCAAAGTTACTTTCTTATGCTTCGATCACATTTATTTGCATGTGACTGTATATTTAATTTTGGAAGATATTATAATCTATTAAACATGAAAAGCCTGAAAGAGCAATTTTACAGTTCATGAAAGAGTTTCTCAGTGTAATGATATTTCTAATAAATGGCTTATATATTTTTCATAATTTTTATGTCAACCAAATTTTGAACAATGAGATTGAAATTACAAACGTGGGTAGACAATATTATCATATTCAAGAAAATGTGCCAGCTCGGCTGTGTAAAAGGATACATGCTGCCTTTAGCACATAATTTCTGAGGCTTTTCAAATAAAGCACTGAACTGGTAATGATGCCTGTCAATTGATGAAATAACCTATTTCAAATACATATAGGATTTTATTGTGATTTTGATTAAACAATATGTCTCCAAAAGAGCATGGTACCTTGTCCATGAAGTTTTTTTTTTTACTATTCAAGTCTTCTTGAGCTATTGGCTGTCTCGAGTTCCAATCTAAGACATTGTCTTCAGGAATATGCCATATACACCTTTCTACCATGGCTTCATTCTACAGCAATAAACACAGTGTTTATCATTACATTCCCTATATATTCTTCCCATGAATCACACTAATCAGAGAAAGAAATGCTAGCTTTTATTCTTATTCTCACTGACTTACATGCAATGAGGTGTCATAGGCATCGTCCTCTGGCCTTTATGATATTCCAAATGTACTTGTTGTTGAGTGCCATTTTGTTCTTATTGCCTACTGCTCACAAATGGCTTTCTCAATTTCAACCTATCTAGTTTTTGAGAAACATCATCATGGTATGAAGAGACTAAGAACAAAAAGGAAATTAGTAGCTGGCGGCACTGCATCAGAAAAATTATTATTCTGTTATGACTACAAACAGTAGCATCAAATGTGAAAATAGACTTTCAAATTAATTAGCATTTAAAGGAAATGGACTTGGAATAATTATCAGATTGCTTTTAAGTAGCTGTGTTTACAAGTGCATCTCTGCTTTCTATTAAGTACTTGCTAGGGGAAAAAACAAGTAAGTACACATTTTGAGTTTTGAATCTGTTCTATGTTCATACTTTTTTACAAACAAAGGCTCAGGAGAGTAAAAAAAAACAAACAATGGTATTGCCCTTTTCCTCACAGCTCCAGTGAAAGTTACCTATTCTTCCCAAAGGCAAAGAGCCTTTTATTGCTCCTATAGATGTGGGGGAATAGGCACACGGTTCTCTATTTCCCATATTGTGATTCTTCCGGCATTCCATAGGTGAGGGATCTTTTGAGTTGACTGTGCCAACAGCCTGTGTTCGTCCACTAGGACACCTCTTTGCAGGCCCAGTGAGGCTACTTCCAGCCTATTACAGCTAGAAATGGGTGTAAAGAGACCAGATCTGATCCACTCTTCATTGCTATTCATACCTTAAGCACTATTTCACATACCTTTTCTCTTTTTCCCCTCAAAGCCTATCTAGTGCTTTCCAAAGCAACTCGTATAAGTGATTAGGGTCACAGAAGCTGTCCATTAATTTCTTGGGAGCTCAAAGATTTGTGTGTTGCTGTTGACATGCAGGAGGGACAGGATGCCATCCAGAGGGACCTTGACAGGCTTGAGAGGTGGGCCTGTGCAAACCTCATGAGGTTCAACAAGGCCAAATGCAAGCTCCTGCACGTGGGTCGGGGCAATCCCAAACATAAATATAGACTAGGCGATGAATGGATTGACACCAGCTCTGAAGAGAAGGACTTGGGAGTGGTAGTGGACAAGAAGCTCAACGTAAGCTGGCAATGTATGCTTGCAGCCCAGAAAGCCATCCGTATCCTGGGCTGCATCAACAGAAGTGTGGCCAGCAGGTCAAGGGAGGTGGTTCTCCCCCTCTACTCTGCTCTCATAAGGCCCCACCTGGAGTACTGTGTCCAGTTCTGGAGCCCCCAACACAAGAAAGAAACGGACCTGTTAGAACAAGTCCAGAGGAGGCCACGAGGATAATCCAAGGGTTGGAGCACCTCTCCTATGAGGACAGGCTGAGAGAGTTGGGGCTGTTCAGCCTGGAGAAGAGAAGGCTCCGGGAAGATCTTATATTTGCCTTCCAGTACCTGAAGGGGCTACAGGAAAGCTGGGGAAGGACTTTTTACAAAGACAGGTAGTGATAGAACAAGGGGAAATGGCTTTAAACTGGAAAAGGGTAGGTTTAGATTAGATATTAGGAATAAATTCTTTCCTGTGAGGGTGGTGAGACACTGGAACAGGTTGCCCAGAGAAGCTGTGGATTCCCCCTCCCTAGAAGTGTTTAAGGCCAGGCTGGATGGGGCTTTGAGCAACCTGATCTGGTGGAAGGTGTTCATGCTGATGGTAGGGGGTTTGGAACTAGATGATCTTTAAGGTCCCTTCCAACCCTAAACATTCTATGATTTGATGATTTCAAATCATCTGTACTCCAGAAGTACTAAATCTTTTATTATATCCCCTTTTCCCTTGAGCATTACCACTCTGCAAAAAATAAATAAACAAATCAGTCTTTATTGTCTTCTTCCTGCAAGGATGATAATAGTCGGGAAGAGAAAAAGAACAAAACTTGAGTTAGCTAGACTGCTGTTATGATAAATGAGTAATCTGTACATTTGCATGTCCTTTGTTTAATATTTTTCACATACAGATACTTCATCGATTGGAAGAATGATGTGGATAGCTACTTTACAATAGACGCTACTGAAGGAACCATTGCTACTAATGAATTACTGGACAGAGAAAGCACAGCACAGTACAATTTCTCTATAATTGCAAGTAAAGTTAGTAAGTATGACACAAACTAAATTAATATGGTAATGTGGCATTTTTTTTGAGAATGTAGTGCTCAGGCATAAATATACTGTGAAGAGTGCAGGTATTGCCAAGAGATTATTTAAGAAAACCCAATAAATATAATTTTGTCAGACTTGCTATGATGCTAAGTGCGATCTTCAAACAAGCCTGTATAGCAAGGTTTTTCTAGGAGCTCTCATGTAAGCACAGTTCCCTTAGAAGCTGAAAAATATTTTGTCAGCACAAAGAGCATGAAGAGTTATATGGAGACCTTCCAGTTCTTATTTCTGATTTTTTAATTCATTCCATATGAAATTAGGGTAGTCAAATAACAGGTCTGTCAATGTGCTTTTTGAAGATAGAAAAGTTTAAAGACTTATTGGATTCTCAGGCCAAAAGTACATTGAAATTGAGTCAAGATTTAAGGCAGTAAACAAATCAATGTGTGCTGCATCTCTGCTCATGTTTTCTCTCTGCCCAAGACGTTATGCCTAACCACTTGTTTTCTTTTCCTATATGCTTTCTGGGTTTTATTTTTTTCTTTTTTTTTCTTTTTTTTTAATAAGAACTCCCTTCTTCCACTGCATTATGTATCTGCAGTTTAATAAGAACTCCCTTCTTCCACTGCATTATGTATCTGCAGTTTTCTTCATTGCCATCCTTCTGTGTAGCATTTCTCCTTCATGACCCTGTCAAACTGAAACTCTCATAGATGTATAACAGCCTTTGAATACAAGTTTTTTGGTCACTTAGTGGTAGTGTAAAGGCCACAAAGTCTTTCTGTTGGCATCAACAAACTATAGAAGAGGATCTCTGCTGTATTTCCTATTCATTCTGTATTGCTTATGTGTCCAGAAATGCAAGTTTCTAAAGTAAATAACATATTTTCATTAATGTATTACTTGGCACTGAGTCTTCAAAAAATAATACATGCTACTTATAGGACACAGAGAAGGTATACACTATTTAAAAGAATAAAAAAAAAAAAATGAATTCTCAGTTGTAGTTATCTCAATAAAAACCATGACTCACTCCCTGGAAATATGAGGACACCAGTCAAATGAACACTTGAATTTTATCTGTACCTTGGAAAAGGGGTATACTAACAGAAGAAACTAATCTACAGGTGTTTGAGTATATGGAGATATATGTGCATGTGTGTGTTGAAAGAGAATCCAAAAGAACTGTAATTTGTTTCCCGAGAAACTGAAAGGCAGGTAGATGCAGAGGGGAGGTCATGTATTGTTCTATGTTTCAGTAGAGCTCAACTATTTAGATTTACTGATAGACAAAGAACATTCGAGATTTGTAATTTTTCTCTGCAGTAAGGCAGCAGTTTTAGTTAACTTTACTGTGAATATGCTTATTATTCCCAAGAGGAACTAAAGCTAGCTAAAGCCTCCAAGTCTACTTGTCTGTGTACCTGGCACACACATAAATATAGTAATACAAGGTTTACATAGAGCTGTAGCAAGTAGGCTATATTATGAAATTACCAATTTTAACAATTGTGTGGTTGAGAATTTACACCTAAGACATATTTGGGATTCATTTCCACATGCCTCAAAATATTTATACATCAACCATTATCCATAGCATTAAAAAAAAATTGCCATACCAGTACTACACCAGTAACTGGCAAAATTTTGGAGGATTTGAGGTATCCTAACTGTCAAATCTTTATACGCAGTTGTCTGACTAAGAGCTAGCACAGAAGTAAAGGCTGGGGTTTGAGGGATGACGCACTAAACACAACCCAGAAAAGGTTCAAGAGAAGAGAAGAAAACATCTGAAGAAAAAGAGGGGGAAAACACCACTATATTTGAATAATTTCTGCTAAAAAAAAAAATAAAAAATGCCACTTGTTCAGTGTCAATGTAGAAACACTGAAATTGCCATCTCTTATTAAAGAAAAAGTGCACTGAACGGTGCCTTGACATATACATGATTGCCTAAAGAAAGTGCCGCGGTATTGCAATCACTTGCATAAACTTGCCTCAGAAGTGTACACTATTGTTACCTAAGTATTTCCATTTCTCCATGACCTTATCTCTTTAAAATAAACAGACTCCAAGCTAGTAATAGGCATATTATGTTCTGTTACTTAAAAAAACCCTTTATTGCTAAAATATGTATTTTACCTTCTCACCATGAGAGAACAACAACAAACCCCACCTTTTAGACACATCCAAATGGTTATTATGCAAAAAATAATCTTTTATTGAACAGGCCAAGTATAAACAAAGACCACCAGCTTTATCCCTATTAAGTCAGAGAGAAAAATGAATTAAACTTACCATCATTCCTCTATATGTGGAAAATGATGCCACAGTCATGAGCAGGCTTGCATGGACTCCCTGCCTGTGCCTGAACCCTGGGGTCATCTAAGTGATTTTTCCTCTTTATTTTTCTATAACTTCAAAATGAAACCCTATACAAATTACAGATGATACTTGTGTTACATTTTTTCTCACAGCTAGTAAAATCTTGAAGTAATATTATTATTTTTGAGCAATCAAGTTACCTTTCAAACAATGACACAAATGATATGCATTTTAGATAGCTAAACAGAGCAGCAGGCAATTGATAAATGTAAATGTAGATATGGATGCACGATTTGTACTTTTCTTACAAACTGATAAATCTGACTATTATTACCAAAGCACCAGAAGTTATAATTTTTGAAGGAATAGATTTCAAAAATAAGGCAGAAGATAATTACTTTGTGTTTATTAACATAACCTTTGCCAACATCAGCTACTGTGGAGAAAAGAAAAAAGAAAAAGTGTCTTATTCAAAAGACTGGGGGTTTTTTGGGAATTTATAAATTGTTTAATGTCCTAATTCTGCATTTATTTGATATATCTATATATATGTACACATATACTGAGATTTTTCTTCCCTAAACTCCAGATCCTGCCCCTTCATCCCTGCCTACACCAAACATGGTACAAGTTGGCAGCTTAAAGAAAGGTAGAACTTAGACCCTTAGCAAACAATTAATTGTGAAATCTGCTTGTCCTAGGCTTGCTTGTGTCAACTTGCACACTCACAGCCAGGGAAGCCCTGGTTATGCAGCAGTAACACAGTGTGTCTTGCATAGGGATAGTAGCTGCTGGTCTCTCAGAGAGAACTAAGATAAAGGAAGTTATTCTACACAAGTTATGCAATGACCAGCTCTAGTCATGTATCATTACACTGTGATCTTTATTTCTAACCTTGAAAAAATTCCAAACTTCTGATCTAAACACTGTCTGGGAATCTGTCTCAAAATAACAGCACAACTGACTCTTGAGAACATCTCAGAGGTGTACGCAGCATGGAGAGATGGATAGCCTGCTGTCAAGTTTAACACAGGACACCGTAACTTTATTCTCGCCCTTATTAAAGAAGCCTGTCCCAAAGTACATATCTTTTTAAATGGAAAGTGGATGATTTTTTTGCTGACACATGGATGATGACACAAACATGAAGGCAATTGAGTACAGAAGATCCCTTACTCATCCACAGGAATAAAAATTCAGCCTTTATATAGAACAAAGTGCATGAACAGGGAGGGGATGTTTCAGACTCCATTTTTTTCTTTGATTTCAATCCCCAATTTCTCCATACTTATTTTTGCTCCCTGACTATATTTCATTGTAGGTTTTTTTTTTTTTTCTTCTTAGAGTAAATCAACACCCTAGTAACCTTCATGGTTGCTATTTCTGAACATTTTTGATCCCACAGGTTCTGTCCAAACTCATAAATTAAACATGGCTTGTATTAGTTTCCAGCTTGCATTCATTTCAAACACAAAGGCCAGTTGGCACTGAGTAGCCTATGTCTATGCCATTGAACACTCTTACCTTCAAAACAGGGTAATTGATTCCCACATATAAATTGATTCTTTGAGTGGTCCCTCGCCCAGCCTAACTCCCAGCACAGGCATGTGAATTGTCCACAAACCACTAGTTGCCCCAGGCCAAAACTGTGCCAAGGGCTGTTGTAATAACATAACAGTATAAAAAAAATCACAGTCCAGTGCTCAAAAAGTTCCCCAGTGTGCTGTCTAATTACCTAGTATGGAAATGGCTTTTGCATCTTACAAAAGAGGAAATAGGTAAGATGTGTAAGATACTATTTCTGTTTTCCTGTCTTCAATGTGCTAGTTAAGGTTGAAAATAAATTAACCATAATCCTTCTTGTTCAAACCGTCTTCCCAGCTCCTCTAACTCTAGGCCCAAATTTTCTGAATGCTAAGGAAAATTCAGCTTAAATCTCAAAATGGGGTTTATCTTCTCCTGTATACCATAACTGGGTTTAAGGAATCGCCAGTTTTCCTTGGTGGTCAGTATCTATTTTCTCAGATATCTTGGATTTACACAAGTAATTAGTCAAAGTATTTTACATATTTTTCTACTACTATAATGTCCTTGAACCATAAAGATGTTAACAGATTATGGTGCTCAAGCAAAAGAAAGAAGCAGGGTTGTCACTTCCTTACAGACAGGAAAACTGAGAAAGGAAGGTGCTAATTAATTTGCCTATATCTTACAGTCAGAAATGAAACCTGAAATCAGTTTCTTAATTCCTAGGCTAATGATTTAACCAATTTATCTTCTGTCTGTGTAACCTGGGCTTAAAGGGCATTGACCAGATGTTTTCAGTGACTCACTCACTAATACCAGCATGCATGTCGCTACTGTGCTCACAGGGCTCAAAAAATTTTGATTTTGAGACAAACAGCAAACAACAACAACCAAACAAAAAACCAAACCAAAACAAAAAAAGCCCAACCAACCAGAGAAAATGGAGGTCAAGTCTGCAAAGTGGTATTTGAAATGAAATTCCCCATCCTCATTCATATCAAGTATTACAGGTCTTTGTAATTATATACAAATTCAAAGCTGTACACAATCTTCTTGCAGTCTTCTTTTATGGACGTGGGTAGTTAAAATTATATCAGTGCAAACCAGAAAGAAAATAAATCACATAAGTAAAGTGAAATCCAGAAGTAGCTTCATTTTATATTGTAGCAATTCTATCTACTTTCACATTTATTTTTTGCTGACTATCTATACAAGGTAAAATTCTATTTCGCTAAAATACTTAGCAAAAAATGATTTTTACCTGTAATATATCTTTCATAGAATCATAGAAAATAAATCACAGACCAACAATGAGAAATAAAGATAAAAAATATACTCATATTTGTGTATATTTCCAAAGCATGCTATCCTATTGTGATTTTGAGGGAAGGCAAAATTTCAAATCCCATGGTTATTTTAAAAATATACAGACCCATAATATGTATACTGTAATGAAAAGCTAAAAAAATAATAATAAAAAAGATACTTCAAAAAAAGATAGCCTAAAAAGACTTCTTATAGAAACTGATATGTTTAATAGAAATTATCAAAATCAACTATCCTCTCCCATGTACATGATGCATAAATTTCGAATATATTAATTATTTTACTAGAAAGGCATTGTTAACATATTTCTAAAAGGAAACAAACTAACATCTATGCCTGTACTTTCATGGGAACACATTAATCTCTAATGTGTTTGAAGAATGTATCCTGAACGCCTGTTCAGTGTTGTAACTTAAAATAATCACACAAAACCTGAAGTAAAACCCGAGTTATTCTGTATGAGTTGCTGTGTTCTTTGCAGTGGGTATTACTAAGAAGGAAGGTTTAAGTTAGGTTGTTTCTGCCAGCAACTCTGTGAACTTGACCTACTGAGGGCTTTTCTGATCTCTGTATATGTTCAGAGTAAGGGTCTGGCCATATACTGACTAAAATAACTTTTTAGTACTTTTTTTGTTTCCTGTTATATATGTGAACCAATTCAACTGTGAACAAGCAATCTAGATTTCTTCTGGCTCCTCAGGCATCTGAAGAACATCTGCTAATTCCCAGCTGCTAGACCAAACTCTGTCTTCATTCATACTGCACAATGCCTCTCTCCACAGAAACATTCTGCAAGTAGGGATGATGCTGAATTTGAAATGAATGAGGTATAAAAGATATAGTATTAGATAAGGTCAGTATTAATTAGATATGTTCATAGGATAGAACTATAAATATTGTGTGATTTAGGTAAGGATTTTCATGTTTGGGTTTGTTTTTTGCTTTTGGTTGTTGGTTTTTTTTAGATTCCAAGCTGAGATTGTAGTATGGTCAGTTTATCCACTACTTGCAAACAGGTAAAGAGTGGTTCTACTTGCAGCTTGTCATACATAACTAGGAAGTCATTGGGGAATACTTTTTGACTTTGACAGAGACCTCTTGAAAACACTTCATTTAGTAGTTCCTAAGAACAAGAAAGAAATTATGTAAAATTTCTATAGTCCCACCGTGAAGAGACTTTGTCCCTTGCTGTTAGTTATAAACAACAGAAATGCAAAGTTTTATATAAACTAAACTATGAAGTAAGATGCTAATGCAAAAAATTTGAAGGGTCCATTCATGTCTGAAGATTCAACTGTTCTTGTACTTAGCCATGACCCCATGCTGTCACTCCTACGCTCTGATTCATAGCATAGATTTCTTGAATAGTTAACTGTGTCTGCCACTCGTAAATGCAAAAGGATAAAATCCTTTTGACTCAACAGCTAAATTGTTTTTTACGTATCCGCTATCTTGCAAGGGGTAAAGTAAAAGAGAATATTGTCTGCTTTGTATTGAATTTGTGTCTCCTTTCTGTCAGACATTGCATTTGCAGGTAAATTTGTTTATAAAATGCATCTAGTGACTAATGAAGATTATCTACGTTGGTAGGACAGTGGAAAGAAGCATAATATATACTGATTTTTAGCAATTTTTTTTGCAAAAAAGTATTTATTGCTTGCAAATACTTATGCAGTTAAAGGAATAACTGTTGCAACATAGCCTAATGATTTAACCACAAGTTCAATGCTAGCTCTACATGTTTCATTGCTAAATTTACCACTGACTTTGTCAGGCTTTCAGCAAGATTTTATAACTTTGTCATTTACTTTTCTCCATCTTCTAAATGGTGTGCTCCACTTACCTCCTTAATATCTTGAAGATGTAGACAGTGGCTAAGTAATAAATATTGATTTTCTGCATTCCATTGTTGGAAACAATTCAGTTTTAATCATTGGAAGCATTTTCCACAGACTCCATGAAGAGTGATTGGAGAAAAGTTTGCATCTTTAATTACAGGTACAACTTCAAATTCTTTAATTTGTGCTCTGATGAACATAATAATGTTGATTGATTCCTTACTCCATGAAGAACAGTGGATCAAACTCTGGTACAAAATTATAAGAAGTTTGCTTCTGATTTCTCCTTAGTACAAATCAGAAATAAACAAAAGTCAATTGTTTTAGAAGTCACAGTACTGACATCAAAAGAGTTTATGATAGCTCATGAACACTGGTGATGACAACAAACATAAACAGTATTCCTTAATGCTTTTCTCTCAAAAATCATTTATAGGTAACCCACTATTAACCAGCAAAGTCAACGTTATAATAAATGTCCTGGATGTCAACGAGTTTCCTCCTGAAATTTCAGTCCCATATGAGACATCTGTATGTGAAAATGCCAAACCAGGACAGGTATTTCAAATTTGTAATGCTTGCTATTTGCTTTTTATTTCCTTATTATTTATAGCAATAGACATTTCTGGATTTGAAAATGACATCATGGTTAGAATTCTTTTACAAATAAAATAACTATGTTGGAAATACTCACTTTTTGAAATTCTGTTTGTTGACCTTTACAGTCTATTTATGGTGTATTTATTTTCATTATCCCTGATTATATGGGTCTGAGCCACCTTTTACTGTGCATTTAATAGCTATGATAGGAGAAAGAATCCCTTCCTTAGAGATATTGAAATATAAGGGTAAAAGTGCAGTGAGTAAATGGAGTAGGATGAATTACACACATTTCTGAGTCCTGTTCTGAGAAAACGAACCCACAATCCCAAAGGCAATCCTCCTGAAAGTTTACTTTTATAAAAAGTTTCAAATATATACATAGTGTGCAAAACTTATTTCAGATTCCGAATACGCCCTTGTACCATGAGTAATGCTAGTATTAATAGAGGTGGCCACAGAAGCTGCTGGCATATGATCCTTCTGTAAAAAATTAAACACCTTGCTGCAAAGCATCAAGGCAAACCTTCATGCTTATTAACAGCTAACACTGTTTTCCAAGACAAGACTTGTAACTTCAACTCGTAATGAGTGCCATGGAAGGAACATATTCCGCCTGCTGTGTAACCAGTGACTTCTCTTTATATGTATGTAATATGTAATCAGTCCATGTGATTTTTATTGTCTTTTTTACAGATTTGTCTATGACTTTGTATGATATTCCTATCTCATCTTTTTTTTTTTCTTATATGTTTCAACTAACTACAACCTAATTTAACTTCTAGTTTATCAGATACCTTTAGTTAGTACCTTATCCAGACGCTAATAGTAGAAAGGGGAACCTTTTACGGGGAAGGCTAAGATAAGCACTGAGCTGTCAAAAATTATAAAAATAAAAAGTTCCTTCATGCCTAAATAGTGCAGAATTTTCAACCCCCTCTACTTAATTTCAAGCTGTAAAATTAAGGTGCTGTTTTGTGAAGTACTACAAGACATACCAGTCGGAACAGTGATAATAGTTGAAGCAGATAAAGCAAACTGTTTAAGTAATCATCTGAAAACAGTTACTAGTATTTTGATTAAAAAAATCCAAAAAACGAAAACCAAAACATTTCTGCTGTGAATACAGGGTAGATCTTTCTGATTTCCTTCAGATATATCAAAGCAAACCGTCTGAGACATCACAAGTCCTCTGGAGGTTATAGTATTCAGACTTCTTGCCTCCGCTGTCCCGTATATTAGGTGAATTAGAGTAATCCACCAGGATTTCATGTTCATTGTTTCATTTGATATTCACTTTGCACTTCTACAAAACTGCTTCAGAATTAATCTTAATCTGGTTTCAGGTGATACAGACTGTCACTGCAGCAGACAAAGATTTGTCACCAGCTGGGCAAAGGTTTTCCTTCAGATTGTCGGCTGAGGCTTCCAACAAACCAAATTTCACAGTCCATGACTACAGAAGTAAGTTGCTTACTCATATCTCTCTTTCAGAGCATCAGGCTTTGATTATAATGACAAATATGGTCACTTTGTTCTACAGTCATGTCTACAGACTAACTTTATTATTTGACATTTCTAATTGTTAAACAGTCTAGGACATATAGTAATATAAATTCAGGTCTTGCACCTTTTCTCATTTTTAGGGGACAGGAATTGTCAGAAAACCAAAGGCTGAGATTTCCCCACAGGCCTGCAAAAACACTGCTACCTGTTTTATTTTCTTCCTTTTATCATTCAGTATCTCAGGAAGAACTCATATGCCAATGCAGGTATATCTTTAAACAAAGCACTATTGCTGCCTTGTTTAAATACTATTATTTTGCTAACTGTTTTCTAAGTACCCAGCTATTGTGCTTTCTGGAGGATGCATAGTCCTGCAGAACTAGTTCTAAATATGGACAGTGCTGCTGCAATATAACATCCCACAATACTCTTAATAATTTGTAGATTTATATCATTAACATCTCTGATTTTGCCTTGGTTCTTACCATAACTTATCATCTTTTCTTTTTTTTTTTTTCTTTTTCACTTTAATGCTTGTGATAGTTGGCAAAGAGCAACGCAATGTGAAAAAATGCAATTTTTCTATCATAAAGAACTTCAAGCATGTAGTCTTGTAAACAGAAACAGCTAAAGCATAGTAATAAATGGTAGTAAATTTTCGCCACTAATTACTTTAACCAAATAAGGAAAAAAAAAGGGTTTGCATCACTCTGCAAAGCAAGAACATGGAAAGCCATCCAATAAAGCTAACATTTATTTGCCTATTTAACTATGTAGGTTATAAGTATTAATTTTAAGGAAAAGTGTATAATTCTTATTTTTAAAATATTAATTATTATTTTTAATTTAAATTTGAGATGATACTGAGTATGATGTAAAGGTTCCTTTCTTGAGAATTAAGTAACACAAGCCCTAAAAAGGGCTAGAGTTGGATAATACACAGAAGGAAAAAAAAATAGAGGTGACTTATTCAGCCTTTTTTAAAACCGTGTAAGTATATGACTCGTGTTTTGAGGCCATACACTTTTCTCAATGTCAGGTGATACAAAATTAAAGCTAATAGAATAAGCACAACTATAAATTGTTAAGAACATTCAGGAAGAAATAAATTTGAAATAATTTGAATAATTTGAAACAACAGAAAAATAAACTGTGCTTATTTTCTCTTTTTATATAGCTCATCTATGAAGATGACAAAACAAAATTGGTTTATTCTCAAACTTATTAGTGACTTTTATCTTAGATGTCATAGATAGCTAAAAAAAAATTACAAATGAGCAAAGAATTTCACTTAATGATTTGTAAATACAGTATATAATGAAAGCATAATAAGTCATTGTATTTCAGACATGAATAATAGTGACTTATGAAAACAAAAATATGTAGATCCACATTTTATCAGAGGCCATTCAAGTAGTTCTCTTGAGACAGACAGCTCAATGGTTATGAAGGAAAAGCTTACAATGGATTCAAGTCCCCTTACTTCTGTTCTTGTAAGATTAGGTCATTACTTTTTCCAGAAGTGCTTAATCAAAACAATTTGGTTTTAATACCTACTAGTATTCAAAAATGTTTTGGCATTTCAATATCTAACTATAATTATGCCAAGCAAGATTTAAATGCTTTCCAACCGTGTCCCACTGGGCTTAAAATTTTGGATAATGCTTAAGTTTGCTTCCCCTTGATGCTGCACTGTAGTTTCTGTTATTGTCTGTTCCCTACTTAGCTGTTGATAGTATTTCCTTGGAAAACTCAGAATGATGAACTTTGCTAATTATTATAGTAAAAAAAATAATGTTCTGTATATCTTAAAAGAAGAAGGAAGATATACCTCTTTGGAACTTCCTCATATTTTACATATATTACTTTCATCTTTTCACTTTTCAATACATTTGAAGGACCGTGTGGGCAGTATCTTTGTAATTATGTAGTCATGACATGAATACTGTTTATTTCTAAATTCCTTTGCTCTTTTGGTCAAGATTTCATTAATGTAAGAGCTTTTGTTTGTTTGTTTCTGTCAATTTAATAAAATATCCTTTAATTTCACCAAGATTTATTTTTTTTCAAATAATTACAAACTATTGTTTTAAAAACAAGTCTTCCCATTCTTCTCAGATTATTTGAACATATTTAATTCCTCAAAAGAATCTTTAAACTTAAAAAGGCTATACAGTAATTAAACTCAATTACCTTTCTCATTTTTAGCTTTTGTGAAGCGTGCTTAGCATATGAGTTTAGTGAAGAAATTGCTCAAATATTATTAGATATTTAGATTTTGTTGTTTAAACCGGTAATGTTGACACCAAGATGACTTTGAATCTCAGTAGTCTGCTAACAAACTTTCTGTACTGTATAAAAACAAATCCAACATTTCCATAAAAAATGGAACTGGAAACCACCAAAGACACACAATTTTTCGTGCGTAAAAGTTTGTGTGTGTATGTACCTATATACACACTCTTAAAAACATTTCTCAACTTTTACTAAAAAAGAAGAAAGTACACTGTTTATTAAAACATAAGGAAGACACAGAGAAAAAAGGCTTTTGTGGAATATTTTACAACCATAAAAGACTTTTAATTTTTTTATAATTTTACAGAGCTATTAGAAAAATCTTTCCCAACAGAAACACTGTACAGTATTTTCAATGTCTTCTAAATTTTGTTTGCCAAAAAGGTCTGCTCAGTGCACAATTTAGAGGTGTAATGACATAACCTTATTTTCGGTACAGAAACCTTTTAAAAACATAAATACCTTTATCTTTTGAGTTAGTAATTATGTCAGTACCAAGCAGGTCCTTTGTGAAAGGACTTTTTTTTTTGGGGGGGGGCAGGGAAATAATCTTGTTCACTGTGTTACAACTAGCGCTTCTACAAGTAAAGGTGTAGTTCAACATTTTCACATCAAGAAAACAAATAATCAGTGCTATTCTGTATCGCTAAAAATCATGGGTGGTATGATATTACAGCAGGTGTAACATGTTTGTAGTGCACCCAAGAGAATAATTTTTTCCAGGTTCCATACTTCCACAGAATAGAACTTAATGAGGACAGAAGCAAGACAGAAGCCTAAGGTTACCATTTGGAGTCTCTATAATTATAAACACAGGGAAATGTTATGTTTCTAAACTATGCCTTCAACAGCACTGAGACCAATCCACCAGCTGTGAACAGAAGTGAGAGGCCCTGGCAGGGCTGGAGTGCTTCCAGCCGAACTGCCCACCTCCCTCTTTCCACTCTGCTGGCCTCACTATGCTCCCTGGAGGGCTGCTTCCTTCCTGAGCACGTGCAGTTGCTCATGTAAGACAGAGAATCTTCCTTCTCTCCGGACTGTCACACACACATCCTGAAAATGAATTTATTGCCAACAGATTGAAGAACCAGAAGCTGTTTCAGCTTCACACTGCAGCTACAGGCTGCTCTGTGTAGAGTTCAAACACATGCCTGTGTCCAGATTTTCAGAAAGACCTTGAACAATAGAAGGGGGTTGTAAAAGAGCAAGAAAAATTGTTCAAAGTCAAAGACTTAAGAGCTTGATCTATTTGTTTCTTCTCAAATGAGAATGAAAAATCATTTGGTTGCATTGTAACATGTATTAGAGTGATCTTTAACATTGCAATTTGAAGAAAAAGAGTAATAGAAATAATTCTATTAATAAAAATAAGATTAAGCTGGATGACTTTGAATTAGATCTAAAACTCTTTCTGCAGTGTAAATGATTAATCATAGAAAGAACAAGCTGAATATGGAAGTTGTCTTGATTCAAACAATTTTGAGACATTTTTCTTTTTCAAAACTAAATGTCACTGAACTTGACGTGTCCGTGTGCCATGTTTGAGACTAATAAAAAAGGGACTTCTGAAATAAAAATTTTGATCAACATATCTGATTTTGGATATTTAGGATTCTTTCTTATTGTCCTTAATTGGAACTGCACACAAGTATTTGAGTGTTGAATTCAGCGCCCTTAATCCTTCTACCTAGTGACAAAATTGCAAGAAGGGATGAAAGTCTTAACATGGACAGCAAGTGACCTCTTCTAAAGACAGTAAAGCACACGGGCAAGATGGCAATAGGGTGACTGCTGCAGGCTACCTTCATTTAGATCTGTCAGCTAATTAATTCCCTGCTAATTTCATTTTGGTTTTGCTTTCAATGTAATTCTTTTAATCTGCACATCATTTCCTTGCTACTCTGATTTAAGAAAAGCAGTGATAACTGAATATCTACTGGGAAGAAATGACAAAATGTAGCTTCTAGGAGATCTGAACACATTCATAACTCATTGATGGAAAATATACTGATTATAAAGTACTCAGTTCACTTCTGTACTTATTTTTAATGGAGCAGGAAAGTTGAAGGGGTTTTGCATTTTGTCTAAGTATATTACTTTCAGGTTTAAAGGTAAATTAATGAATTAATAGAGTCGATTCTAAATCCATGTGCAAACAATGTCCTTTGGACCACAGGCTTGGAATATAAAGAGATAAGGAGAAAATAAAAACTGAAAAGCCTTCCTAATCTCATACCTGTATTTTTTTTTTAATTATTATTTATGACTTCTTTGAAATTTTAGCTGTCATGCTAACAAGTTTACAGGAAATGGAATATTATTTAGTGTTCTGCAAAAAATAGTTGTACCAGTCAGAATGCAATACCTTCTGTAATGATAAAATAAGGCAATATTAGCACGTCATTCACTGAGTTTCAAAAATGGAATAGCTGCCTGTTACTAAAAACGATACAAACTACAACGGTGAATTGGGGTACACAATAAAAATCCTGTAATGACTGTGTCATGTTTTACAGACAACACAGCTGGGATTGAAACCAGGAGAAATGGTTACAGCAGAAGACAGCAAGAGCTGTACTTTCTTCCAGTAGTAATAGAAGATAGCAGTTACCCTGTCCAGAGCAGCACAAACACAATGACTATCCGTGTTTGCAGATGTGATTCTGATGGTACCATTCTGTCCTGCAACGTGGAAGCAATCTTCTTACCAGTAGGCCTCAGCACAGGAGCACTGATTGCAATCTTATTGTGTATTGTTATACTTCTAGGTTAGTTCTCATGAAACCACATGAAGTGCATTACTCTGATTATTCCCCTATTAATTAATTTGTATTGTTATTAGCTTCATCTATTGTTTAACAACAGCCATTAAAAATGTGTGGCAGTTTATGAGATCTTTTATGATTCTACATTTCTAGAAAAACATCCCAAAGCACTGACCATAACTGTGAATCTGCTAACACCCACATATTTCTTATGTATATTTATTCTTTCTGATTCTATATTCTCTTGCATGAAGAGAATCAGCTTTCACTGGAATTCGAACCAGATTTTTTTCTCTGAAACAGTTTTGGTTAAATACTTCTCTTGCAGAATTAATATTTTTAGATTATTATTATTAATGCAGACAAGTTCTGCTGACAGTAACAGCAGTAAAGACTTAGTAAGGGCCTTCTTTTAATTCTTCATGTTGACTTCAGCAAACGAGAACAAAGAAATGAGAGAGGAGAAAATAATTGCAATGTAGACTGTGACTGGCTAGATCCATGTAAAACTTTACAGGAAATTTTTAATTTCAGGCAAGCATGGATTCCAGAAGGTGGCATTGTCATTTGATCTATGTTATATTTAAATATTGCCCTCTTTACAGCATACCCAAAGCAGTCAATAATCATGAGCATCCTAGCTTTAATGAATTGATAATGAAACAAAACCAACTTTGCAGCTTATACAGGCACAATGATGTGGGCTGCAGAAAGCAGACTGATTCTTACAGATGCTAGCCTACACCTCTTGATACCAGTGGACTTCCTAGATCTCATGCTACTCCTTATGTAGATCTAATATATAGGCAAAAATAACTGTAGACACAGAATATAACATATGGATATTTCTTTGCATTTGGATAATATGGTAATTTACAACTTAAGTAAATTACTACAGGCTCAGGGTTACATAAATAGCTTCTGAGTGGGTAAAACATCAGAATTTCTGTCCTTTGTACAAATTTTATGCTGTGAGAGAAATATTGTTTCAAATCAGAATGAGAATGGCAAACAGTCATAGTTCCCATGGAATAGAAATTAATACACTAATTCTGTAGAATTAAAAACAAAACAAAACTAAACAAACAGCTCAGCTTTTCAGAAGCAAGAAGAATGTTGTCTCCTTTATCACAATTCCTTGGGACTACTTTTTTACTTTTAGAGGTTTCTTGGTTAAAAGCAGTTGGGGTAAGCCTCAGCATTAGGCTTTACATTATGAAAAAAGCTTTAACTTATTTCACATGATGAGAAAAGTCAATTAGAATTCTGTCTTAAGGCAGAATTCCCAGGATATCGAACATCTCTGTTACAGAGCAAAGTGCCTAGAAGCCCTGAAGACATAGCTGTAGCAAAGCCTTTCAAGTTGCCACCTTTGTGTCCAGTAATCTGGACAGCGTGAAATATGCAGCATAGAATTTGATGCTTTTGGTACGGACATCATTTACAATGGCAGAGTATCTGGGGAAGTGGGAAGACCTGAATTTCCCCTAGATTTCCTAGGTGATTACGGAGGCCTTCAACAGAACTATGTTTATGTTTCCCTAATGATTTGTTGAAATAAATACAATTTTTATCTAAAAAACACCCAGAATATTCAATCAAAAATAATTATATAAAATAACTCTTTACCATTTTTGCTGGTAATTGATACTCTTGGTTTATACAAAACTAATGAAGATATTTCGAGTCCCGCTTTTCACAGAACACCAGACTGAATTACTGAGGTTATGTTTGGAAAAAGATTTTGGCCCTTTAATAACTCCCTTCATTCCAATCAGCCTGGCAATATTACCCATAAAAACTAATGTATAAATAATGAGATTCCAAATGCTGTATGTAACCTAAAAGTATGGTGTTTATCTTATACCCGAATTTTCTCCTTACTATTTCATTGATCAATTTTGAAACAAACTGCTTTTGGATTTTCATTTCTTGCTGTGAACCTGTCCTGACACAGTCATTAAAATCATAGTTGAAGTCATTCTTGTCAAACTCATTTCTACACAACCAGAATAAGGAGTTATTTTAGGCCACACAAGCCTGACCATGAATTTATAATCACTGCATTCAACAACAGCTCTTAGAACACTGTCATTTCTACCAAAGGCATTTAGGGAATTAGAAATAACAAAAGGCCAGTTTACTACAAGCAGATTTTACTGAAACCAAAAAACAGCACTATTCTAGCTACTAAAAAGAAACCTAGCTGTCTCAGCTAAAAACCAGGACAGCATTCAATGAAATATATCGTCAAAGTCAAAGTATTGAAAAAAAAAAAAAAAAGCCCACAAGCTGATTTCCATTGAGTTGCCATTTGGAATAAACCCAGTTTTAAACATTTTATGTTATATAAAATCACAAAATCACTGTCAAAAGGCACCTCTGAAGATCACCTAGTCCAACCTCTCTGCTTACTCCAAGGTCAGTTAGAGCAAGTTGCTCAGTATAAAGTTGGGTTTTGAATATCTCCAAGGTTTGATACACCACAGCTTCTCCGGGCAACATGATCCAATGCTTGACAGTAAAGAAGCTTTTTTCTTATGTTTTAATGGAATTCCCTGCATTTCAATTTGTGCCCATTGCCTCTTGTTCTGTCACTGGACACCACTAAGAAAAGTCTGACTCCATCTTCTTTGCTTTCATCCATCAGGTATTCATACACATTGATAAGATTGTCCTGAGACTTCTCTTCTCCAGGCTGAGTAGTCACAGCTCTCTCAGCCTCTCTTCATGTGGTAGATGTTCCAATCCCTTAATCATCTTTGTGCCTCTGCAGTGTCTGGACTCAATCCAGGAAGTCTACATTTGTCTTGTACTGAGGAGCCCAGAACTGGACTCAGAACTCCAAGTGTGTCTGACCAGGGCTGAACAGACAGGAATGATCACCTCCCTAGACATTCTGACAGCGCTCTTCCTAATGCAGCCCCAAATGCCATTAACCGGCTTTGCCAGAAGGGCATATTGCTGGCTCATGATGAACTACTTGTCCTCCAGGACTCTAGGTCCTTCTCTGTCAAGCTGCTTTCTGGCCAGTCAGCCAACAGCATCTACAGTATGCAGTTTTTCCCCTCCATGTGTGGGACTTGGCATTTCCCTTTGTTAAACTTCATGGGGTTCCTGTTGGCCCACTCCCCAAGCACAACCCCTGTTTTGTATCACCTGCAAACTTGCTGAGGGTGCACTCAATCCAATGATCCAGGTGATTTCTGAAAATGTTAAATAAAACTGATCCCCGTATCAAGCCCTGGGGTACACCATTAGTGACTGGCCTCTGTCTGATATCTGGGCTGTTGATTACAGTCTTTACAGCCTGGCAGTTTGGCCAGCTTTGCAATCCACCTCACTGTCTACTTGTCTAGTCCACACTTTCTCAGTTTTTCTTAGAAGGTTGTTATGGGAGACAGCATCAAAAGCTTTGCTAAATTTAGGATAAAAATAATGCACTTTTCACCCTTTATCCACTAGTGACCTCAATGTAGAAGGCTATCAGGTAAGTTAAGAACAATTTCCCCTTCATAAATCCATGCTGACTACTCCTGATACCCTTCCTGTTCCTGATAGGTTTGAAAATGGTTTCCAGAATTATTTACTCTATCACTTCCCTCAGGATCAAGGTGAGGCTGACTAGTTCTAGTGAGGCCTCTAGTTCTCTAGCTTGTTCTTCTTGCCTTGAAGACAGGAGTGACATTTGCTCCAGTCATCAGAAACTTCTCCCAGTCCCCATGACCTTTCAGAAATTATCACAAGTAGCCTCACAATGACATCAATGACTGCTCTCATGTGTGCATCCTATTAGGTCCCATGAGCTTGTGTGTGCCCAGTTTGTTTACGTGTTCCCTAACCTGACCCTCTTCCACCAAGGGTAAGTCTTTTTTGTTCCAGATTTTTTCTCTGGTCTCAGGGATC